AATGAAATAAGTTATATGAATTGTTGAATGTGAAACTGATGATGTGCCCTGTAAACTTTCACTCAATCCACAATAAAAACCTTAAATTAAAAAAAAAAAAAAAAAAATTACAGCCTCAGAAACCCTATAGAGGGCCCCTGTGATTGGGAACTGACTTAACAACATTTTGGTTTAGTATCTGATGGAGACAACAACTCATTTGACCTATTTCAAGATTGCTACTTGAGACTTCTATATATTAGACAAGCATGTTTAACATTGATTCTAGTCAATACTAAACCAAGAAACAATCATTATGACCTAGCATTTACAGTCTAAGCTAGATTGTCTTGATACATGCAGATAAACAAATCAGTACGTGTTTGAGAGAGCAACTGTGCACTCCAGTTTCTCTTTTGTTAAGTGTTACATGGTGCTGTTAGTCCAGTCCTGTTATTTATGCTTTTGAAATGGGTGCAGTGTGTTACTTTATGCTCCTTCCTCTTCTCTTTCCTTCTTTCCCAGTGCCATGGAAAGCCATTCTCTCCTGAATCCCAACCTACAGCAAGGTGAAGGAGTCCTTTCCAGTTTCCGAACCACCTGGCAGGAGTTTGTAGAGGATCTGGGCTTCTGGAGGGTCCTGCTGTTGATCTTCGTCATTGCGTTGCTGTCCCTTGGCATTGCCTACTACGTGAGTGGGGTGCTGCCCTTCGTGGAAAACCAGCCTGAACTGGTGCATTAAAGAAGCTTGTGGGAGAAGAGGAGGCAGATGCTTCTAGATGTTCAGTTTCTCAAAATTCTTCTCTTAGTGCAAGGCAGTGAGGGCTCTACTTTCTTTATTTTGCATTTTTACTTATTGTCATCTTTTTAGAATAATGATGTGTTTATTTGATCTAACTACACACTGTAGTCAAATATACTGCATTCTACAGCTACTACCTCTAACTCAATCTGACTTCTTGGAAAAGCTTTGTTTGATAAAAATATAGAAATTACTAGAGATGAAAAGTAAGGAATGAGGCTAGGAAGCCCTTGCTGTAGAAATTTTGCCCAAATATAGGACCAGTTAAATCAAGGTTTCAAAAAGAAAAGTGTTCTTATATGATTCATTTCTGTTTGTATGTGGTTTTCTGCTTATTTTTTGCAATCCCTTTTTCTTATTTACTTACTCTAAGGATGGGGTAAAAATAAAATATTGATTTCAGTTTAAAACTTGAAGCATTGTTTTCAAATCCTGCACAGCAAATTACTCTTGTTAGAGACTGTTTGGTTTTGGTTTATTAGATTATTTTAAAATCTAGTTATAAACTAGACAACTTTTAAAAATGAGCATAATTGCTTCAGAAATTTTTGATTTCATCTTAAATGCATATTTATTAGTTTTAAGGGTAATTTTGATTTCATGTATATTGTTTTGCTTTTTGTTTATATCTGTGAAAAGTAAACTTGAAGAGTTCGTTGTCTGTTCACCCTTTCCAGTTTTCCTAGTATTTTATGTCAAAGGAGTTTTCCTAGTATTTTATTTCAAAGGTATCTATCTTACTTGTTAAAAAAAAAAGAAAAAGAAAAGGCAGAAAACCTTTTTTCTACTCCATAGCTAGCAGGGGAAAATAACTGTGATACCTTACTGTTATTATAATTCTGTCAAGCTATTATTTTAGGGGAAAAACCAGTTCTATAAGCTAGCTGTGTTGTCATGATTACATCATAGTTCACAATTATCTCATTTTAATGTGCAGTGCTGCTTAGAGGCCCTGTTTTCATAACAATCCATGCATGTCAGTAGATCTTTGATGGCAAGAAATGATGGGGCGTTCCTGAA